TTTGTGTGGTTGTGGAATACAAGATGTAAAAGGATTTAAATATGCAAAGCGATAGAACCCAAATTTATCTTCTCATGTTTTTAGTAGTGACCATGTGTTTGTGAAGTTCTGCATATATGACTATGCCAGTTTACTTTAGTATGCTTGATTTCGCTATTTGAATTAAAAAACACGAAGTCTCCTTAGATATCGATATTATCTAAGGGGATCTTAAAAGTCCTGTTTGGGAGGGCCTACTGGCTGGAGTGATACAACCTTGGGGTCAGCCTCCCAAAGCCAAACTTAACCCTAGCATCCTGGGGCACTGGGTGTGAAAGTGGAATTTGGTATTCAAGGAGAGACATCTGCGAAGCAGTCCAAGAACAGATAGGAAGAGATGAGGAGAAACCACCTATCAAGAATAATATCTCTCCTGAGTGTGTATGTCTTAGTTTATAACATACTATTTAGCAGGCTAAGGTCTCATCACCAAAGAAAATATAAAAATAAATCTTGGCCTTTGGAAAGCTCAGATGATGGACACACTATATTTTGGTTACTGAATCATTCAGAGACCGAATTAACATTAGAAAAAAGTTGGAGTTATGTGTCCTTTCTCCTCCTAGAGCATTACTTTTCAGCCCAAAGCAAGCTAGTCATTGGGAGGAGGACTGGGACTGAACCCGAGTATCTAAGTCTTTTACTTTAAGCTCCCTCATTCCACAAAAGAAAAGCCAACAGGTAGAGCAATAAAAACCCTCCAAATACAAGCAACCCCCCAAACAAACAAACAAACAAACAAAACCCTGAAACAAGGCTTGTGCATCTCAACCTACATTTTACAGGAGAATTTCACCCATATGATAGATTTTTGTGATATGGCTTTGCATTTTTATAATACAAAAGCAAACTATCCTCATTAAAAATGTTTGTCCAGGTTCATAAGAATAAGAAGCAGCAGAGAGGAAAAGATTATGATTCATAAGCTCAACTTCAAGAAGTAACCATTGTTAACATTTTAACTGACTTCCTTTCAGGTTTTCCAGACCCAGTTGAATCTTGACTATTCTTGCCCAAAAAGTTTCTGGTCAAAAACGTTTCTCTGTACTAGAAGGCAGGATCACAGGAGAGGCAGACACTTGCCTACAGAGTGTCAAGCATTTTGAGTGCGACATTGGTGAATTTTGTCTGCAGATAATTTTAGTTACTTGGGCAATAGTTTCGTTTATAGCATAGATCCGGATTAGGTTAAATTTAGTTTGAGTTTAGAATTAGAGAGCTACATTGTAGTTACAGACAGGAGAGGAGGAACATCATGTTCTAAGTTAAAATAAGATGTCTGAATGTCACAATCTGGTCACACAGGAGCTCTGAAAAAGTCAGCCAAAAGAGACCTGGACTGGTACTGCTGAGTTCTTAAGGGAGGAGAGGCAGTGTTTTGTTGGAGGGACACTGTCGATCAGCTAGAGAGAGGCCAGGGGACGTGGTAAGGACATGCTGTCAGCAGTGTCATAGGTACAGAACTGGGTGGCTGGCCAGATCACAGAAGGGGGAGTCTCACTTTTGGTCAAACATTAAATGATTGGTGTGAGTGTGTGTTTTCTTCATGTGGAATCCCTGAAGTGAAGTAACTTCTTCACTTGAATGAGGATACCTGTGTAGGAGCTGGTTTTCCTTTAGGCTCCTCAGAAGCATTTCACACTCCTAGGACTTTGCCTGCTCTGTGCTGCGTCCATTAGTGCCCTGTGCCACTCGGGAAGAGGGCCTATTCCCTGTCACTGGGGAAAGGACCAAACTGTAGGCTGTGTCAGCCCATAGTCAGGTGTGCTCCAAGGAAAGGTCTAGGACAGACGTCTCCCTGCACTTACCCACGTGGTTGGCAGCTCCATTCTGCCTCTCGTTCTCCTCCACCTGGCATTTCTTCTTGGCAATCTTGTGGAGAATTGAAGCCTTTTCTCTGAATCTCCCTGAAGTAAAAGAAAGTGGCAAAAAAGAAATAGAGTGAGGAGGAAGATAAAGAGGGAGACTTGTGGTAAAGGGTCAAGCGCCGGCAAAGCACGCGTGTGGCTTCCTTCATTATGCCGCACCATTGCAGGGACCTCTGCATTCTGTCCAACCCCAGTACCCTACGACCTGCATGAAGAGTTCTTACCTTGTGGGTTCTTCAGCCTCGTTCTCTATTTGAGAACCTCGAGCTGCTGGGCCATAGGTGAAAACTTGACTGGAACCTCTTCTCTTCCCTCCCAATTGCTCACAGAAACAAAATGATTGCCCCCAGCATCCCTAGAACTTCCCCCCCTGCTGCCCGGATCCAAAGCAGGTTTAAAGAAACAGAGCTGCCCTGGAGACATAGCCACTTCTCCACTTCGAAAGGCTCATCCCAAATTGGCATTTGGCAACGAGCGAAGGAAAGCCAAGCCCAGGGGATCTCTCATTTGACTTTGGTTCCCAAACGTGTATCAAAATTAACATGGAAGTTTCTAGACAATCAGAGCAGGCATTGCAGCTTTTCAGATCAGCTGAGTCAGCTGCAATTAAAGTGCCAAGGAGGTGACTGGTTCCATGTGGGGACTCAGGGCAAAGAATGATCAACTGAGCACAGCAAATAATATCAGTGATGAGACACTTTGGGAAAAGTGCTGGATAAAAATAACACTCTCAAAGTAATCCTTTTAAGCAGGTGTACAACAAGGGTAATGCTTCATTTGTTCATTATTGACACAATTAATAGGTAATTGCATGCAACAAGCTCAGATACAAAAGCAAAAACAAAAATTAAAAAAAGACATGCAAAAGTGTAGAGCTTAGGCAAGCAGCACATTGTTCTTTCTTTTTAACTCTTTTCTTTTTTTCTGGGGGGAACATTTATGGTACAAAAGAATTTAATCTTAAACTAGCTGACATTGCCTAGATTCAGAGATAAGTCTCCCAAACATCACAACTCCTACAATTTTCCCACTAAAATAACTTTTGGTTGTGGGCTGAATGATGCCTATTGATAGGGGATCTCTTTCTGCTTTTCTTGTTAGAATCAAAACCAGCCAAAACTAAAATATTTCTGTTAGAAAGTCTCTCCTCTGGGGATGGGACATGGTAGGTCAGCATCCACTACCCCTTTTCTTCTCATGGGTGAGAATCATGACATATAACTGTGGTGACTTGTGCAACTGGTCAGGAGTGACCAGACCTGTAAGTTAGAGTCAGATCCATTAACTCTAATTCAGGAGGTGATAGAGGACTGAGCCCATCCTTCTCACGACTCCATCAGTGATAAACCTAGACACCTTGCTTCCACAAAGACAACCTCTAGGACAGAAGTCCCTGAGTGTAGGTAATGACTGTACATCAGGGGCACCTTCTCAGAGGAAGTAGGTGGGGAACATCCACGGAGAAGAGGTCCGTGTGCGGCTCAGGCTTCATAAGGAATGAGAAGGAAGGATGAGGTGATGGGTACGTATACACATTCAGCATTCAGTTCACCATTATGGAAGGTCACTTGAGTTTGGTTATTTCTATTGAATCTTCAAGGGAAACTGAGAAAAAAAGGGGAAGGCTGGGGACTAGCAAAAGGAGATAAAAAGAGAACAGGAAATTTGAAGATAAGAGAGAGAAAAAAGAAGGGATATAAAGAAGGAAGAGGTAGGAGGGGCTGTGATTGCCTGGAGCTGGCCCAGCAGCGCGGATGCAAAACACTTTGCTGACTGCCAAATCCAGTCTTGTTTGAGGACTGGAAAAACAGATATTAAGAATGACCTCCAGTCTTCTCCAGCCTTAAACTTAAAGAGGGGCTACTTCTTAGAGAAGACAACTGCAAAAAGTCCTCAATTCATGTGACTTTTTAGCTCTGAAGAGAAAAAAGGAAGTTTATGTGATGCTTCTACTAATAATACATTATTCCACTGTCATCTCAGGGTCATTCTTTGAACTTTATGAAACTATATGAACAATGTTTTCTACTTTAAAATTATATATAAAACAATAATAAACCAAGGAAGCATTCTAAAGAGGAAACAAATAAGCCTGTGGAAATAAATCCTGAAATAATAACTCCATCCAAATAATGTCCTAAAGTAAGGAATTATGAAAGAGTCAATATTGATAGAAATCAGCTACTCACACATGGTGGTCACAAAAAATCTTTTCAGAGCTTAGATGTATGCTAGAGAGAAACAAGAATAAGAGAGATCCATAAGCGAGTAAGGGTTCAGCCATTCTCTGCTAAGAAGAATGTTTCAGAACAGTACTGGCCACCGTGACCCATGGACTAATTTCCCAAATTCTCCAAAGGAAGACTAGGAGAATAGGATGGAAAATGAATTGGAATTTCATAAGTTCTCAAACATTTTATAGGCTAGTGAGGGGTTTCTAGATTGTCTATTACTATTTAGCACCTTGGACTTTTCTTACTTTCTTTCATTCATTCTTTTTTTTTTTTTTTGAGAGTTTTTTTGCTATAGGGCACATGCACTCGCCAGAAAGACAGAGAGAGATAGAGAGACAGAAATCGAGAAATCACCCTCCAGAGAGGAAGGCCACGCTGCAATCCCTTCTTCTCCATTCTCCTCTCGGGATCTTGGGCACGCACGCACACGCGCCGGCGTGAGTTTAAGCCGCCGGGTCCAGGACTCGAACTGCAGTCGACTACGTGGGAGTCCAGCAACATGGCCATTATGCCAACTGCTAGTCCCTAGCACCTCAGATTTTTCATGCTATTGGAAAATAGGAGGGATTGAGTCAGCCCATGGCCTAGTGGTCATGTGATTAGATCCCATACAGCTAACTGTGTGGTTTGAATTCTGGACCTGGAGGCTGAAAAACACGTTGGGCATGTGTGCACGCAGGGCCAGAATCCCCAAAGGAGTGAGACGTGGGGGAGAGAGGATTTGCCATGACCATGCCCCGATGGTGCTCTTTTGCTTTCTCTCCTTTGTCTCCCTCTGGCAAATTACTAAAGAGGGAGAAGGAGGAAGAGGAGGAGGGATCAGCAAATAAGGCTTTAAAATAAAAAAAGATTTGCTCTTGAGTTCGAGACCTCGGAACAGCAAGGCAAAAGGAGCAGAGTCTGGCTGGGAAGCTATCTTCTTCACAGCCTTTGTCCATTTTTTTAATTCAACCTGTTCTCCCGCCCATTCTTCATCCCAGCTATCAGGACCTAGAAACAGTTCTGTATTCTAAATGCTGATCATGGTTGATCTATGGCTTAATGGGATTTTCCTTTAAAGGTTAGTTTCTAGAAAGACAGTAGTTAAAAGCCACTTAAAAAATTCAGCACACATATGTATTTCTTAAGGGTGCCGGGCAGAGCCTGGCAAAGCAAGGCATGCTCAGTTCAGCTCATCAGGCACCTCTGTGCTGTCACAGGGCAACTTTTGAGAAATGCTGTGATGATGAGGCTCAGAAGACAAGAATGGGCATGAGGTCCCTGGGCCAGAAGCAGGGACAGAACCTGTGATTATCAAAGAGACCCTCTGTGCCTTGGGGTCAGAAGACAGGACATCTTCAGGACCCGCTCAGCCCAAACCTCAGGCTGGGGAGAATATCGAGGAGGGTGCGAGGGTCGGAAGCAGCACAGTATTGTGCTGAAATGGATGCAATGTAGAGGTACACAGATCTGAGTTTAAGTTCTAGCGCTTTCCCTGGCTCTGCGGGGTGCCTTTTGGTAAGGTCCTAATATGTCTGAGATTTAGCTTTACCCATCTAGTGTACAGGGTTCCAGTGGTTTTGGCTCATGACTTAAATATAAGGCATAGGGGAGAACATGTGTGCCAAAGGCTTAGGAGAGTGTGTATGTCAGAAGAACCCTGTAAACAAGAGGAAAAAGAGACACAAACTACCAACGATCTTGGGGTGAGCATGACATGGGCTTGAGGTACTGTGGGAGGATTGTTTCCATGTTCTGCTCCCCAGTCCACACAGACAGTACTGGACAACCAGCCTCATGCAGACCCAGTGGTTTAAGCATCCAGGATTTGCTGGACTGGTGTTCAGGTTTCAGTGCATCCTCCGAAAGTCAGCTCCGAAACCCATCCTAACGGGACCTCGAAAGGTTCATGTTAGAGCCTTCTGTAATTGAGAAGGACACAGTGATGGAGTAGGCCTTCTGTGTCTTAAACATTCACACCTTTGTGATCTTAAAGCAGGAAGGTGGTGATTGGTCCTTTCCCCATCACCACTAAGGACAGAAGGCAGTCCAGGCAACTATTACTGCTGCTTTAAGGCTTTGGGTAGCTCACAGGAACTTCAGGATCATGAAGTTTTTAACCTGTTTGTGTCTGGGGTTCAGAAACTGCAAGAGGATAAGAAGAGCACTAGCTCTTACAGTGGTAGGAGTTCAATGGGCTAATGTGCATCAAGTGTTAGCAGGGCCTCTGACATAAAGTAAGTGCTTAGGAATTGTTACTCGAAAGGGTATTATTAATGGAAGTGAATGACAGGAAATCCTTCCCATGAATTGCTGAAAATAAGAAGGACATTTAAAATGGAACTGGTGCTTAGCAGCCTCAGGTGCAGACATTGGTGGTAAAAGAATTGCTTAGATATTTTAGGTTCAGATTCTATGTGGTCATAAGGGTGGCTCGGATCTAAGAAACAATCACGAAACTTTGTGCCTGGTGATAAGAATCAAGATATTTTTGGGTGCTTTTCAAGGGTGAGTGAAGGAGGTCTGAATTTTAACATGCTTTAAGGCAACCTTAAAAAATATACTGTGTTGTGGAATAATCCCTTAAGGTGCTGTATTTTTATATAGCTACAGATAATTGTATACTTAAAAAAATCTCGGAAATAGCAAACTCTGCTCAAATCGTGAGGCACCTACGTCAAAAGCGAGTACACAATTTTAATATAGTTTAGCTCGGTCTGAGATTTGCAGAAGAGTACCAGCTGAGTGTCCTCAGAAGCGTATGTGTTGAGGGGGTGGAAGGGAAGTGAGGAAGGAAAAGGGCCAAACATAAGAACCAATTCTGAA